TCGACAAAACTGCAGTATCATCACCACACCTAAAAAATTAGCAATAACCCCTAAACTTCATCAAATAGCCAAAAAGTATTCAAATTACCAGTAGTCTCGTGAATGTCATACTTTTTTTAAAACAGATTTTTAAAATCAAGATCCAGGTAACATCCACACATTGCAATCATCTCTTTAAAAAATCAGTAGGCTCCACCCCCCCCCACCACCATTTCTCATTTTCCCCCTCACAATTTATTTATTGGAAAACAAACAAACAAAAACACTTTTCTTTCCTTCAGAGTTTCCCTTCAGTCTGGATTTTGTTAATTGCATCCCTTTGGCATAGTATAACATATTCTTCTAACTTCTGTTTCCTAAAAACTGGACATTGCCTCTAAGGCTTGGTCAGATTTAGGTTTGGTGGAGTTTTGTTTGTTTGTTTTGGTCAAGACTATTTCATAGTGTTTGCTCTCATCAGAGGGGACTTAATGTCTTGTTAGCTCTTTCTGTGCCGTTAGTAGCCACTGATGTTCAATGCCAAGTCTCCCAGTGTTTTCAGTTTGTTTAGCTCTTTGTTCAGTGTTGTCCAGTGAGCAGAGCTTCAGGGCAAGGCTGAGCCAAAAGATAAGGTCTCCTAGCTTTGGACCACTAAGAATTTTCAAAGATCTGTCACCCCAAAGTTAAGTTTTTTCGCAATGATTTAAAAACAAATAAACATCTCATTCAATTCAATTAATGAATTTTCAGTCAATAAGTAAAATTGTTATTAAATGACAAATTTTTAAAAAATTTAAAAGTACACTGTTGTAATTGGATGAACGAGACCATTATTTTTGAGCTACCTTTGTCATAGTCTATTTCTACTTGTTTTTTACCTGTTATTTATTCTGTGTTGATTTCACTTTACTACTTATTTAGTGCTCTTTGAGAACCAGGATGTCTTGAATATGCAGACCTTGGATTCCATGCAGCTTGTCTTCTGCAGAAGAACCTCAAGCAGAACTATGCCTCTGCAGTTTTTCTTAAGTTCAAGAGTCTTCCTGGTCTTCGCTTTGTATTCAGATGGCACTCTTCCGAGCTGGAGCATGTTTGCCTCCCTCCTCTCCTCTTTTCCTACCTTCTTCCCTTTCTTCTGTCTTTACTTTTTTTTTTTTTTTTTTGCTTTTTTTAAAGGTTTTATTTATTTATTCATGAGAAACAGACTGAGGGGGGGGGCAGAGACACAGGCAGAGGGAGAAGCAGGCTCCATGCAGAGAGCCTAACGTGGGACTCTATCCCAGGTCTCCAGGATCACACCCTGGGCTGAAGGCAGCACTAAACCGCTGAGCCACCCAGGCTGCCCTTTTGGCTTTTTTAAAGATTTTATTTATTTATTCATGAGAAACACAGAGAGGGAGAGGCAGAGACATAGGCAGAGGGAGAAGCAGGCTCCCTGCAGGGAACCTGATACTGGTCTCAGTCCCTGGACCCCGGATCATGCCCTGAGCTGAAGGCAGATGCTCAACAGCTGAGCCACCCAGGTGTCCCTGTTTTCTTTTTATTTAGCCAGCATGATGCTTTTTTCCCCAGGTCTACTTTTAAGCTTCCTAACACTGTGTTGATGCAAAGAAATTACTTGGGAATGGTGAAATGTGAACTTGATTCTCTGTGCCCAGAGCTATTTTTCCAAATGCATAGACCTATATTCAGTCATTTAACAAACCCTGGCAATAAGGCCCAACTATGTCCTGGGCGTGTGGGGAGAGAGACAAATTGCAACATAGTGGAAATGCTAACAAGAATAGATGAAAAGTCCCATGTGACAAATAACACGTGGCTCTATGAGGAAGAACTGAAAAAGGGCTTGATCTTGGAAGAAACATTTAAACTAAGTCTTCAAAGAATATGATGATGACAGCATATTTGTGTAAAAATAGTTAACATATCTTTACACTGTTTTCCTTACTTTGTTGAAGCATTGGACCCAACTCTTGGCTAACAAACCTGACTTTTGTGTTTAGTTACAACTTAACCATCAATGTTTCCTTCATATGTATGCAAAATAGATGTAAGCTTAAATATCATCCTCACTTCATTCCCACCTAATTAATAGTGGGAAAAAAATAACTTTTAAGCATGGGAAGTTTCAGGGTGTGGGAGGTTCATGGTCACCTTCTCCCACTGCAGCAGGATCCTGTCTTTCAGGTAGTAGTGAAAGTTCCCAAGAGATGAACTCCTGAGTTACTGCAAAAGTCTACAGATCCACAGGTGTGCCAAGCATTATCTTTTGACTGAGTAAATTACAGTCTCCCATATAGATGTATGCCTTTTTCTTTTTTTTTTAAATTTTTGTTTTTATTTATTTATGATAGTCACACACAGAGAGAGAGAGGCAGAGACACAGGCAGAGGGAGAAGCAGGCTCCATGCACCGGGAGCCCGATGTGGGATTCGATCCCGGGTCTCCAGGATCGCGCCCTGGGTCAAAGGCAGGTGCCAAACCGCTGCGCCACCCAGGGATCCCTCCTTTGTGAGGGTGTGAATGTGTGTTTTATAGTTGGGAATTCCTGAAAAATCTTTGACATTAAAAGGAGTCTTTATAAAATACATAGTGAATATCCTTAATACTACTGAATTCTGAATTGTACACTTAAAAATTGTTACAGTGGCAAATTTTACATCACGTATATTTTGCCACAATAAAAAAGTATACCAGAGATGCCTGGGTGGTTCAGTGGTGGAGCATCTGCCTGGGGCTCAGGGCATGATCCTGGGGTCCTGGGATTGAGTCCTGAATCAGGTTCCCTGTGGCAGCCTGCTCCTCCCACTGCCTGTGTCTCTGTCTCTCTCTGTGTGTCTTTCATAAATAAATAAATAAAATCTTTAAAAAATAATAAAAAAAACAAAATATCTGAAAACATATTTTAACTTATATGCAAACCAGGAGATTTTGTATTTGAAGAAACTGGATGCTGTTGGCCTAGGGCTTTTATTATTTTGGCAGATATTTAGCCATCACCAAGAAAGACTCTACTCTGTTAACTTTCAGTGTCAGAGAAACAGAGCTTCCTGTTTCTGGAGCTTGTAGTCCAGAGGGGATGGCACTTAGCTCATCCTTCATGCATGTGTAATCATATAACATGATCCTACACTGTGATGTGACTTTACACTATGGTGAGTGCTAGGAAGGGAAAAGTATACAGAGCTTTGCAGGGGGTGGTGGGTAGTCCTGGTGTTAAGACTCAGAAAAGACTTCCCCAAGGAAGTAACAGTTTGGCTGATATTTGAATAATGAATGAGTATAGACAACATTCATAAGAGGTTATTGACTACTTTTCCATTTCAGACTCTTTTCCTTAAGACAGGAACCATGTGTTCTTTAGCACCCCACCCACAGGTAGCATTAGGCACATTGAGAGCCGCTGGTTACTGTTGAGTGGAGAATAAATAAAACATTGAGTAGAAATGCTTATGCTGGATTTTTTTCCCAAGGATGTTTGTGGGACCTGGCACCACCTGTTTTCACTTCTTTAATTTTCATATTTTTAATTTAACTGCTTTTACGAAGAACTTTGGATCACATTATAACTTTTGCATATACAAGAAATGCTTCACAATTTTATTGCTAAATTTGTCTTCTTGTAACATCAACTGAATTTGGTGCTTCTTTAATTGTTCTTCTGTGTTCTCGCCTAAATTTTTGTATCCACTCTCTCACCAGTGTGTTCTAGATAGTATACTTCGAAGAGAAAATGTCTATTAGCTCTTAAGAACATAGATTTCTCTTTATTTTAGATGAAAACACATTCCGAAGCTGTGGATTTTGCAAATGAGACAGATTCATATGGCTCACAATAAAACAGTAGACACCAGACTGAGCCCACCACATGCATGCATTTCTTCAGGAACAAAGACTCTATGGAGTGGGGGTGGATTTGCCATCTGCCTTAGGTATATATTATCTTTTCAGATGGAAGAGACCAGAGAAGTGAGGTAGAGAGAGAGGGTCTATGTGATTGGCAACATGTAAATGGAGTCTTAACAGGACTTCTACATTGGCTAAAGTAAAACTTACTATTTTTTTATATATAACTTTTACATTGTTTCTCACCCTGCACCAAATTTTGAATCAGTATTAACTCTCATACCAAAAATAGAAAAGAAAAGGGACAGGTAAGGATAAACTCTTGTCCTTAAAAGGTCCTGCTGGAAAGTAGGTTAAGGCTTCCTAATGTAAACAAAGGTGTAATGATTAGAAAAAATTATTTCTGTAGACTTTTGTCACTACCCAAATTATTTCTGCAGAGATTTGGATGTGGTTTAAGTCAAATAACATGCCCCAAATTCACAAGTTACACAGTAAATGCATTACTGGTGGGGTGTCCCTCAACACCAGTCTAATAATTAGACCTTTGTTTCTAAATCTAGGGACTTGGAATAGTGTATCTCTTTCAACTTTTTATTATATGTCAAGTCCCAGGATAGCTAATAAAATTTTCATATGAATGCCATAGTTTTTTTTCTACTTTTTATTATATGTCAAGTCCAAGGATAGATAGTAACATTTTTCACATGAATTCCATAGTTTTTATTATGTAGTTTCCATTGAGAACTCTGGGCCACTTATAGCATCAGCTTTTTAAGGTTTTAGTTGAAAAGGTATATGTATAATGAATAGTAAGAATAGTGGTGTTAACTATCAAATACTTTATATATTTTTTTTAAGTGTTTTATTTATTCCTGAGAGAGAGGCAGAGATACAGGCAGAGAGAGAAGCAGGCTCTCTATGCAGTGAGCATGACGTGAGACTCGATCCCGGGTCTCCAGGATCAGGCCCTGGGCTGAAGGCGGCACTAAACCGCTGGGTCAACAGGGCTGCCCTCAAATACTTTATATTAAGATCAGAATAGCTAAGGATACTATGGCTAAAACTGGTACCTCTATCCCTCAAGGGAGAAGGAAATTAGAAAAATTGCAAGAATAATGGTATGTTTTTAATACTGTTTAAGAGCATCTAATAATTATTCTTTTTCTTTCTAGGAAAAGCCATTGACAAAATCTCTACAACGTGGAGAAGATCCCCAATTTGACCAAGTATGTAATAATAAGTTATATATATATGTGTGTGTGTATATATATATATTCATATTCTGGTTTTATGTATTATGCACATAAGGTAAGGGCTAGTTGCTCATTATTAGTATATTGATGAACTTCCTCAAAGACGATAGAAGGAAATGATCTTAGAAACTGTGTCCTTCAGCTTTTACAGTTATAGCTTAAACAGACATTCAGTGGATATCTACTGATTTGAACCAGAAAGAATAGGAATATGTTGGAATAATAAGAATAGGCCATCAATTGATTGTTCCCTAAATCTTTGTATACCAGAATTAAAGAAGCTAAGAAAAGATAAAGGAATTTCTACTCCAAAATTTAGTAAGATGCCTCTGAATAAATGATCATTGCTCTGTAATGATCAGAAAGATCTCTGCACTGGAGTTTATCATGGTTTCATCCAGCTTTTTCTGAATGCCTACTATTTGCTTGACACAACACTACAAAATATACAAGTTTTAGCTCTTCAAGATTTCACAGTATTGTGAGAAATAAATCAATAATTATAAGACAGTGTAGTAACTTGGATTCTAATAGAGAATGTGATATATGAACAAAACAATTTAAGGCAGGATAAATACAAAGAAAGTCTTTTGAAGGTGATCTGGATTAGTAAAAGGGCATCCCACTCTCAACAGCAGGTAATAAATATAGGAAATCAGGATCTGATAGATCCTGGTTCGGTAAATATTGAAAGGCCTCATGTACTTTTAAGAATGATGAGTAATAAGGCATCAGAGGAAGTGAGAAATGTTTGTGATGTTTCCTAAACTTTTGCAGTTAATGACAGAGAGGACAATACGTTCTCCAAAAACCTCACTTGGAGCCAGTGGTAGAGACAAAATATTGCTGGATGCACTATAGTCTGATCTAATATTGTGGGGGTTTTATTGTCTTATGAAGAACACAGAGAGTGCACTTTCAGCTGGGCTTTGAAATTGCCTTTCATGTAGGATCAGAAGAAAAGTTCTTGGTCTGTTAAAGTCCAGAGTTGTTCAGTCAAAAATTGTAAGGACTGGGATGCCTGTGCTGCTCAGTAGGTTAAGCCTCTGACTTTGGCTCAGGTCATGGTCACAGGGTCCTGGGATCCCACATCAGCGGACTCTGTGCTCAGCAGAGTCTGTTTCTTCTCCCTCTGCCCCTCCCCCTGCTCGTGCTCTCTCTGTCTCTCTGTCTCTCTCTCAAATAAATTTTAAAAATATTTTAAAACAAAACAAAAAACCCTGTAAGGACTGATTATAGAGATTGAATTTTGCATTTTCTGTTGTATAAGCTCCTCACTGAAGGAAACTCGGCTTGTGCTCACAGTCAGTATCTGAGGGCTGGTGTGGCGCTGGGTTCTCACTCTAGTGCTGGTAGAGCTGGCTCTTTTCTGGATTGCTGGTGAAATGGGGTATGTGCTTTATATCTCTGTGGAACAGAGCTTCTCTCATCATATTGTCCTTAGTTGTCACCTGATAGATACTAGGGCAGCAGAGATCCTGAGAGGACATTAGGAGTCATTATTTTGGAAATGGGGCAAGTTATGGCTTTCTCTTTTCCTCAAGAATGTAAATATTTATCATCTGTCATTCATAAATTTTCACTCTATTTTATATTCTCTGTATTCTATCCTGTTTCTATCCTAGATATACCTGTCCTAATATGTCACTGTTTTTTCCTCAGAAAAAAATTATTTCTCCAGCTTAATGTGTATCTCTCTATATTCTCTAGGAAAATAGTACATCTAATTTTATCGTTGCAGATAATTGCTATCCCAAATGATTTGGCTTAAACACAGTTTCCCACTTGTATTCAGCCCTCTATTTCTGCATTCAGCATTGTGGGAGAGAGATGGCCTTTGGAATTAGACAGACAAGGTTTAAATCCTGATTTTGCCACTTAATTAGCTATAATACCTTTAACCTTGTTGCACAGAATGTTGAAATGCAGAATCTCTGCCCTGCCCTAGATCTTACTGAATCAGATTCTGCAGCTTAACAGGATCCCCAGATGACCCACACACACATTAAAGCTTGAGCAACACTGCTCTGTAACACATCTCTATATATTAAAGACACTTCATGAGTGAATCAGTAGTAAGATGGACACTGAGAACTTTCAAATAAGACACATAAGATTATCCTCTCATCATTAAATCATAAATTTACACATGAACCAGGAGAGAAGGCAACCTACAACGTCTATTTCACTTTAAAGAGATAGCAAGACTCCCAGGAACCTTGACAGAAATTGATCCACCTGTGCTAGTCTACTATTATTTTACTAGCAAAATGTGAGAATTAAGGTTCCATTGGCAATGCCATGGATGTATCAAGGTCTCTTAGTCTTTTGATATTAGACATCCAAATTACATAATTCTCCTTGTTCTAATACCAAGCAGTAGGATTTTAATCTGGATTCACACAGAGGTCTGTCTATGCAAAAAGAACATGCTGGTGATACCACCTTACATGGTGTAGACTCTGTTGCTATGATCATGGGAGCAGTAGTAACAGTAGAAATAGTATTCATGTAGTACTTACCATAGGATAGACACTATGCTAAGTATCCCCTTTGAGCAGTATGCAGCCAGTCCCTGTTTAGAGAATGTTTTTTATCAGTTTCTTCCTTTTAAATATCACTGGCATGTTTGATAGACTATAGAAAGCTGAGCTTCTGCGCTTTCAGTGCCTGATCCTGAGTGGCCCTGTTTACTCCTCCACTTAACAAGCCCATGATTCATTTTTCTCTTGCTAGAAATAGAAGCAAAAAGAAATCATATAATACTTTATAAGTTATGAAGCCCCTTCTCAAGCATGATCTCAGCTGACATCATTCGCTACTTCCAAAAACCCCAAGAAGAAGCCATCATCATCATCATCATCATCATCATCATCATTTCTATATCACATTTCATGAGAATAAGACTCAGAGAGCTTACCCAACACTATATGACTAAAGCCTGAATGAGCCAAGACTGGCATTCACATGTTCGGACCATAAACCAGTGCTTTTTACTCTATAATGCTTGTATATCTAAAATCTAAGGTGGTGAGAATTTAGAGGGGAGTGTTCAACAGGGAAAGAATCTCAGATCCTGTATCAGTTAAGATTAGGTTTAGCTACAAATTACACATAAAATAACAGCAGTTTGAACAAGATAGCTTCTTTCTCTCTCACATTCAAGAAATACAAAGAAAATCAGTCTAGTATCTATATATTATTTTGTTTGCTTGTGTTTTGCTTACATTCCCAAGGTCATCTCATTGTCCAGTTTGGCCTCTAGAGCTCAGCCATTATGTCTACATTCCAGGCAACAGGAAGGAGAAACAGAAAAAGAATTATAGGGAAAAAAAATTAAAAACTAGAATGACTCAACATTGCACACACAACTTCTGCTCATATTCAGATGGCGAGATCTTAATCACATAGCCACCTATAGCTGTAGGAAAGATTGGGAAATTTTACTTTGCACAATTATTTGTCTATGTAAAAATCAGATATTTTATTGGGGTGCCTGAGTGGCTCAGTCAGTTAAGTGTCTGACTCTTGATCTCAGCTCAGGTCTTGATCTCAGGGTCATGAGTTTGAGCCCTGCATTGAGCTCCCTGCTGGGCCTGAAGCCTACTTTAAAAAAAAAAAAAATAGGTATTTTATAACCAAGGAAGAAGAATAGACTAGATATTAGGTATTACCTGTCTTTGCTAGATATCATAGTAGAGTTTTGCCAAATGCACAAAAGAATACTATTTATAGTTCTGTATACCTCTTTTTTTCACTGTGGAATATTCTTAGAATTTGTTAATTTTGCAGTCTGAATTTTAAAATATGTGTATTTAGGGGTTAAAGCTTTATGTTTCCTAATTTTTTAAAAATATTCTTTGTATATAATTAACTATTGGCTTCATATCTCTTAATTTAATCTAATTATCATCTAACCCTATATACTATAAACCTGGGGAAAAAAGTCCCATTGTTTCATAAATTACAAGATGTCTAAACAGAATTGTTTTGGTTTTTTTTTTAAGTTCAGTATTAGTGGGAGAACTAGTGATTGCCTTACACATTGGAAATCTTGGAATTTATACCCTTATTCCCAGAATTTCGTTGTTTACAAATTTCATGAGTATGAACTTAACCCATTCTTATGTATAGCACCTACTTTGTGGCAACGATGTACCAAGCATTATGCCAGCTTGTGGAAATAAAGATGAAAAAACATGGTGCCTGCACTGGGGTGGGGGTGGGACAATCTAATGGGTGAAACAAAGAAGGAGTATGATCAAACAAATTATAACCTCAGGCTGGTAAGTAAGCTCACCAAGGAAGGACCTAGTATCCTGTGAGCCCCGGGAAAGCAAGCTTTTCCCTATACTAGGGAGCCAGCAATGGTTTCAGTTCCTGCTAAGGAGAGAGAGCCATACCAGTAATGGGAATTAATAAAGCTGGAAGAGATTTCCAATAGCATTTTAAAAATGTATACTGCCAGTAATTTCTTTTAAATGCCTAATTAACTGTCAAGACTTCAAGTAAAATGAATGAAAAGTTGTCCTGATATAAAGTTCTCCATTTTAGCTAAATAAATTTAGCAAATTTATTAAAGGAATGTGTGTGTGTGTGTGTGTGTGTGTGAGTGTACATGTATACACACACAAAGCTCTGTATTGGACAAAGAGATACAAGGATGTGGTCTATGCGTTCCAGGAACTTCAGATTTGGAAGAGGATAAGGCAGGGTACAAAGAGCTCTGACGGGCCCACGTGTGTTAGAAATGCCACATGGATGGTGCAGACAGTAAACATTGTGAGATTTCAAGGAACAGAAGACACACACTTCAGGGCCAGATGGCTAGAGAAATCTTTGTAGAAGAGGACATGAATGGGTCTGTCAGCTGAGACAGAAGATGTGTATTTTTAAAAGATAATATTAAAAAAGAGGTGACATCATGACTCTCATAGAAATATAAAATGAGCACAGGTGAGAGATTTTATTTA